CATTAAACAAACTGCATATTATGAATGAGATTCATTTTGCAGTGAAGACACTTATGTTGAAGATTTTTATGGGAGTTTTTGCAAAAAATGCATAACTCGTGATAGACTCAAGTCAGTGATGTACACATTTCAATCTTTAGTGATGGCGAACATTCCAGTTTGAAGAAACATTTTGTTTTTCATGCTATTAAAATAACAATGTGAAGTCTTGATTTTCTATTGTGTAAAAAGCAGTAAACTAATTCATAAATGGTTCTTATCTTGCTTTGTCTGTGTGGCCTCAAAAAATATGGCGTCACATTTCCCCAAACACAAAAACATTTCTTTAATTATATTAATCGACATTATTAAAAATTCAAGAGCAATAATCTACACTGACTTCTACGACGGCGTTTTAGTGCCACGTTAAAAAAATTAAAAAAAATCTAAGATTACGAGATTAAAGACGTAATGTTTCGAGAATAAAGTCAAAATTACGAGAATAAAGTCTAAATGTTTCTGTCACGAATCCGGTCCATGAACTTCCGTCACCCTTCCACTACTATGGACTCTTGCACCACACCACTGTTGCACTTCACCCGGACTACAGTTCCCATCATCCATTGCACTGATTACACACACACAGTTGATTGCACACAGCACTGATTGCACACAGCTGTCATCAATCACACATTCACTATATAACACTCACTCTGATCCCTTTCACACTGCCGAGTATTGTATGGCGTTTATCACTCTCATAGCGATAGCTACTCTACAGAGCCTGTCTAGTTTTTCATAGCCTTATCTTAGTCTTGCCTTGTCTGTTTTGTCATGTCCTGATCTTTGCCTGTGTATCTCGGATTCCCCCTCTCGTCTTGCCCTACTCGATAAACTAATTCATAAACGGTTCTTATCTTGCTTTGTCTGTGTGGCCTCAAAAAATATGGTGCGACATTTCCCCAAACACAAAAACATTTCTTTAATTATATTAATCGACGTTATTAAAAATTCAAGAGCAATAATCTACACTGACTTCTACGACGGCGTTTTAGTGCCACATTAAAAAAAAAATTTTAAATTTAAGATTACGAGATTAAAGACGTAATATTTCGAGAATAAAGTTGAAATTACGAGAATAAAGTCTAAATGTTTCTATCACGAATCCGGTCCATGAACTTCCGTCTGCTTGCCACCAGAGGTCACCCTTCCACTACTATGGACTCTTGCACCACACCACTGTTGCACTTCACCCGGACTACAGTTCCCATCATCCATTGCACTGATTAAGTCTTGCCTTGTCTGTTTTGTCATGTCCTGATCTTTGCCTGTGTATCTCGGATTCCCCCTCTCGTCTTGCCCTACTCGGATACTGTTTGCCCCTGCCTGGACCTTTGCCTTGTACCTGGATTTATCCCTCTAGTCTCGAACTGTTGATTCTGTTCGCCGATCGTAGACCCATGCAAGCCCTAGGAATATTCTTGTGTCTTGCCCTCTATATACCTGTTGCCATTGTCTGACCCTTGCCAGTTTCTGACCATGTCGGTTAATAAAGCTTCACACTTGGATCTGCACGTCTCAGTCACTCCGTGACAGTTTCGAGAAAAAAGATTAAAGTTATAATATTTTGAGAGTATATTCTAGCCTTTTGCACATGCAAATGGCCCGGATTGGGAGCACCGGGATATATTCCAAAGTCTCAGCTTTCAAAATCTGTCGGTTTTATAGCGAAATCCAAACAATATTACAATAATGTGTTTTTTTCATGCTCTTTATGTGGCGTGACAGATCGCTGTATTCGCTTCAGTTTAAGCGGCATGTGAGGAATAAAAGTTTGGACGCCACAGACGTTTTTGCTGAGTAGGTGGTGGAATTTTCACAAATTTTGAATTTTCACAAAGAAAACAGTATCATTTAATGAATTGGTTCACATAAATACAGCGATCTGATCATTAAAGAGCTTGAAAACACATTATTGTAACATAAGACACATAATTTGTGTTTCGCTATAAAACTGATTTTGAAAGCTGAGACTTTTTTTGAAAGCTGAGATATTAAAAGTAGGCCTACCAAAAGCACAAAGCTTATTGCTATTGGTTACAAATAACGAATGGAATGGAAGACATTAAATATTATTTCCAAGCATACTGTCCCCGCGAGTATGACACATGGTATGATTTCTGCTAATAATCCCACATATATTTGTAGTGCATTAAAAAAGGGTTAAATAAGAGAGCTACAGCGCCCCCCAACGGAATGTCGATTGAGTGTGTGAGCTGACGTTAAGATAAAAAGTTGTCCCTGTTCAGTCTGTTAATAAATATCATATTCTTGATATTAAGCTGTTTCCGCGAGTCCTTAAAATTGACCCTTCCTCATCCCAGTAAGATGACGTGGCTGCTCAGCCATTTGCATGCGCATTAAAGGCTATACTCTCAAAATATTATAACTTTAATTTCTTCGATTTAAATTCTCAAAACATTTCGACTTTATTCTCGAAACATTTTGACTTTATTCT